GTGTGATTTAACTGCTGATGATGAAGAACACGTGAAGAACTCAAATTCACAGGCAAAACCCATGAAGAAGAAAGGCAAGATTCTTCAAGCTTGTAGGCGATTATTTGGATTTTAGATGAGTCACCTTTGTTTCGCAGCCTATAGTTGGGGCTGGCTACACATATTCAGGCTCAGCTACAAAAAAATTGAGTTTTATTTCAATAAATTTGAGGGTAACTACATGAATCTATTTTTGTTATAATAGATCCATTTAAAAGATCTAAAGTAAATGCATCCTTTTTTCAAATCGTATTAGTTGCATTATGCATATTACCCACTACAGATTTAGATTATTCAAGCCTTTTTAGACATTTATTTAGATTTTATAAGATTAATTACTTGTGTTTGAATAGTTGCCACAGCAACACCAACAAAAAATAGTTAGGGCTTTTCCATTTGTACCAAAAATGGATGACAATGAATTTGACAACCTCTCACATGCGGCAGGCCCCGCGTGATTTAAAAATTCCAAAAAAAAGTGGGGCCCCCTCAACTGTGAGTGTCGATCAACCTGAATGTCAACCATTTTCGGTACGAATAGCACGACTCTAGATTTAATTAGAACATGCAACGATTTTATGTCGTGCAACGTTGTATAGGACATGCAACGATTGATACATAAAATAACTTTTTTATGTGAAATAATCATACGAAGTGAATAATACTTTAATCATTTACATCAGGCTCAAACCTGAAATATGTCGTGCTTGTTGATCATGAATACTATTAAGAAGAAATTGTGCAAGATGTATTGCTAATAATCGATTTCTGCGTCATAAATTTTGTCGATGACACCAACTTTCTATAGGCACGATATTGCCATCTGTAATCCTAGACAAATGCGCATCGGTGATAACATATGATATTAATGTCAATAATTTTGATTTAACTAATACTGATTTTCATCATATCACCGACAATAATAATATTGTCGGTGATTTTCAATACCTTTACTCGTAGGACTAGGATGCGGACATGGAACTCGAAAACGGAGAAAAGAAGTGAGAAGAGAATCGTGAGGTTCATCTAGTTTATCTTAGCTATTATGTCAAAGACATCCCAACTAATCAATTTATTATTGGAAAACTTACAAAATGAACTTGTATAAAAGTTGGTCGGTCTTACACTTCACATTTTATATATCAGAAGAATTACAATTTCTGTACTGAATGACTAAAAATCCGAAGCAAATAAACGAGGAAAATTTATAAAACAACCCTAATATAAAGTGAGTTGCAACACTGCAATTTACATAATATCTTGTTATGTGTCCATCAAAACCAAATAGAAAACATTCCAAATGAATGCGATGACAAATATCAACCGTGGCTACCTTTGAGTTTAATGATGTTATCATTTTGACAAATGATCGTCGATTGCTATTGTGACCGAGGTGGACGGCCTTGTAATTGTTTTAACTTCTACGATGTTTCTATTAGCAATAAACGTTGGTTAATTGATTTTGGTAGAAATGTATGATAATAATTTGGTTTATAATGTACGGTCATGTCGAACATTATAAGTTTCAAGCGTTGAAATTTGTTATCATAACATGTCATGTTTAGTCCTACATAATAAACATATCTTCGTAGTCGCGTAAATATGTCAAGTGTGTTTACGACTCCCCTCGTTTCCATCTTCATCTTCTTCCACGTCCAAGAGGGAAACAATGCAACATCAATAGAGCATAGATAATTTTGCTTTTTTCCTCTCATCAGTTTTCTATTGGGGAATTTTCTGTAATCACTAAAAGAGCTGTAGCAATTCAATAGAAGATAAAAGTTTCTTAATTTTCTTAAATGTCTAAAGAATAAATTTTAAAGCTTAAGATAAGTTGGAAACATAAAAAATCAAAAATAATATTGGAAAAGTTTCATACTTTCATACTTCAGCTACTCGAGCTGTTATCCTCCAACTATAAACAATACATGGTATCAAAAAGGATCTTTACACCTCAAATATGAACAAGAACATAGTCTGCAGTTCAAATATTGTGTATTATGATATAAGAAAACTATGCCATAATATATCCTAGATAATTACTCTCTCGACAGTTTCCATCCTTTTTTCCTTGGGAATGGGATATTTTACATTTTCGTTTTAAAAATGTGCCTTCCAGTACAGGAGTGATCTCTGTGGCTATCGAATATTGTTTGAGAAATTCAATAAACAATGAGTCTCAAGACGAAAGCTTGCAGGTCGAACTTCAGCAAAGAATCACATCCCTGAAAAACTGGTAAAGTTAATATACCGATATCAGTAGTAGTTTTGACAAATCAGTCTGTCCTCGCACGTTTCGAATGAGTTTGCCTCATCCAATCAATGCATTCCTCTGCAGACACAGAGGGATGTGCAAGCTGCCACTCGAGCAGTTTTTGCTGCTGAAAGAGGGGAAAATATACTATCAGTTAGCATTCTAATTTCTGTATATTTTTAGTATAAAGTTTACGGTCAACAAGCAGATAAGACGTACCCATTCCTTGACTACGGGTCCCCCTGATTTGATCTGCAAGACATTCATTATATCCTTTCCATTCACCAATGGTTTCATTTCCCATACTTTTTCTAAACCTGCAACGCGAGAACAGTGTATCATTTACAGATGTATATCAAAGAGTGGGAGGGCTGCGTAATTTGAAGCTGGTGAAAGATTTTTATCATGGTATTCATTGCATTTTAGACATTTTCAATTGAATCAAAGCTTTATGAGCACTCCTACCATTTTACAAATGGATTAATGAAACCACATTACCAACTGATCCATAAAAATAATACGAGCAAAATGCAATAATTTAAAATGAAAATTCCCACGCTAATCTTAAAAAAAAAAAAAAGAAATAAAATATTTTGATTCCTCCTTCAGGATTCAACTGGCAAATTTCGACACACACGTACCAATATTGTGCAGAAAATGCCAAAAATCAGTTACTGAACTTGTTGAGCTTGAGATTTATTAAAAAACTGACAGATAATTCAATTATGAATGTAAGTATCGTGGAAGGATCGGGCAATACCTAGTTCCAAGATTGCTTTCTCAATCCTGTTAAATAATTCTCTTTTCTTGTCCAATTCATATTCCTTGTTTGATGAATTTGTAGTGCAACCACTATTGGCCCCATGCAACAGCATGGAAAGCACAAGGGCAGCACGCCAAAACTCTTTAATTTCTCTCAGCAGCAATCCTATAGGTTTGAACAGAGTTAGCAGTTATAAGCATATTCGATGAAGGGAAGTTGATATTGGTCAAAAATTTATTCATAAAAAACGGACATTAATTAATCCAGGTTTTAAGTTGTGTCATGTATCTTGCTTTCTGCATTACACAAAATGGTGTGCATGCAGCTTCAATATTTCTCAAGTCCCTACACGATCCCATATTCCATGATTACAAACATTTGACATCGCCATATATGAACAGCGTGGCTAATTAGGATCACAAGGTATAACAAAAATATTACAATAAACCCTCCAAATAAGAATCGAGTATATTCCCCTCAAGGTTCCATATATGGTAATTAATGGGATTCTTTGGATACATAGGTCAAAACTATGAAAGTCTCTGGCAAGTAAAACCAATAGAAGTTTACAGTTACGGCGAAGACACATATTTGTGCTTCTAACTAGTTTGAAGATTTTTAACTCAATTTAATAGAGAACCAAATGTTACAAAGTTTCTTTTGCCAGTAATACATTCTACTTGACCCCCCATGCAATCAACTAAAGCCACTTCTAGTAGATTATGATAGTTTCAGCTTTTGTTTCATGGTTATGATTATCTAAAATTTCTGAAGAATAAACTTCGAAAATACTGTCACAACAGAAAAATTGCCCGATCTTGTTGCACATATTTCACTCACTAAGAGAGATGAAAATCGTGCTTTCGAATTTCAATCGATAAGACAGGTCAAGTAGATCTCTATAGACAACCACTACACATTTACATAGAATTTGACAAATGGTAGGTGTGATTTGATTGCAGGTGAACGGCAGCTTATTGAAGAAACAACAATTGGTGCATAGAAAATGTCTCCAGTAATTTCTAAGGGGGAGAACATTTACCAGCCAGTATTCTGAGTTTTGAAGCAACGGGGACATCAATAATTTCTCTTTTCCAGTCAACTTCAAGAATTTGTATATCCTCATTAGACAGAATCAAAGGAATCAAGGATACGAATTTTTCCGCTGCAAGATGCAAACTAAGAACCTGTCCGCCAATGACAATTCTATTGATAGTAAGAAACTTCCCCATTAGCAAAGAGAAATAGAAGACTCTAAACTGTAAGCAACATGCAAAACATCAAAAAAAAAAGAAAAGAAAAGAGGGAATAACTAAAAAAAATGGGTGATCAGTAGCACGTACAGTTTCAGCATCACTAGCCTTCAGCTTGAGAGAGTTGCGAAAGATGTAACTCACAACTGGGATCTGTTCAAATATTAAGCATCGGTATAAACAGATATGAGAAAAAGTGGGAAAAAAAAAATTCTGAACTTTCTGACAAGTTGTGTACAAGAATAAATGACAAGAAACATTCAAGATAAACGTAGGAAATTACATACATCATAATTTACCTTTTTCCCTTTGTTGTCTTTGTAAATAGTCTTCCTAAAGGGAAGAAATAAAGCAGCATACAGGCAGAGCCTTCTATGGTCGTCCTAAAAATCACAAGAAGAAGAATGTGAAAAGTAGAAACCTTACAAATAAACCTCTTATTAAGGATATTAACTTACACACACCCTCTACTACTCACAGTTAATGAGGAGAGTTCAAGTAACTGCAAAAGTCTCCATGTTGAATCCATGCAAGTAACACAAAGCCTAGTCATAAAATTTTAAAAAAGGAAAGTGAGATCTTTCCACAAATGGCCAAGAGAAGAATCACAAAGATACATACCAAAATACAAAGGAAATGTTTATATTTTAAACGGAAAAGGAAGGAGTCAGACTATATTAAAGTGATAGAATAATCCTTAAGTCCTCCTGAGACACTAAATCCAAAGAGACCCACAATCATTCACATAATTAATGAACCTTCGTGAGATATTTCGAAATCTAGTTTGTTTCTCTTCTGAATTTTTTTATTTGCCATCTATCTATTATAGTTGTATACCAGAGCATTATGATCAATGGAAACTGCACCGACGCTTTCTCCACCAATTATGACAATATAGAGAGAGCTCAATGAAACTTTAATTGGGCAACAAATCAAAGAATTAGTTGGTAAAGCTAGTACGAGGGCTTCAGAATGAGAACCAGAAGAACACTTAAAATGCTTGTATAAAGGCTAGCAAAACAAGTAAAAGATAGCACAGCATTTATACCTTAATATTCCACATTAAGATTTTGAAAAATAATGACAATTGTCATCTAAGAGAAATGGAGCTTCAACTTGGCAGAATTCCAAAAACACAGTCCTCAAGGTTTGGAGGTTAAGTGAAGAGTCAATGTGTTTTGTAGATATAAACCAGATTGAACTTCCAAAATGCCATCTCCCTCAAATTATAAACCATTATTGTTACCTTTCTTTTATTAAGAGAAAAATTCAAAATGAACTTTAAACATGAACCGGGAAGGGAAGAAACCTTTCACATCCTTCAGAAGTTGAAGGCTCTGGCTCAGGAGGAAGACTAAACACAGCCCAGAACAATTGCAGTTCAGAAATGTATGTCATTGCTTTCACAGGATGATTGCCAGATATCATGAGATCAATCTGTTCAATAAGACAAAAAAAAAAAGAACGACGTGAAAATATTAGTACAAGGCACAAAAAGAAAATCACCGAACATATTGCGACATAATGATCCACAAAACAAATTATACAAGCATACTTCATGACCGATACGTTCTCTACTAATTTTATCTGCAATTGCAGCTTTGACATCCTCATCTGCAGCAGCTATCTTCAGTTCTTCTTCTAGCATAAATCCAAACCTTGCACCTAAAGAACCATGATCAGGTTGGATTCTGACATAGGAGGATTTAATTTAATCTTATGTCATAAATTACATAACATATTTTCTGCAGAATCATATCTTCACACCACAGCACTAGCTAAGCTAAATATTTAATTCATCATTTCTCCTTGCTAAGGCATAGGTAAATCTAATTTATTAAGACCAGAACATTGAAAACAGAAGTCGCTAGTGAACTACCAAATCGGATAGCTCGAAGAACTCGTAAGGGATCATCCAAAAACGTCTGCTTTGGAGGCAACGGGGTCGCTATTTTCCCCGACTTCAAGTCCATAATGCCTATATTCATAAAAACAATGATCTCTTACATTATATATATGCAGCTTTGTGGCTTAATTCGACTAAATGAATTAGCTAAGACAAAAATACTTACCTTTTCCAGTAAAATCTTCAACAGAACTTGTGTTGATATTGTAGAACAAGCTGAAGAATAGCAGTTTCAGGAGGCAAAAGAATAAGCTAATTCTACACATTATAATTATATCAAAAGGAATTGATTGGCATATTCCCAGGTATATCCTCATACATACTTGAAAACATGCTCGTTTTAATTATATGTACAAAAATCTACATCTATTTCCATTCCAAGAATCAGAGAGAGAGAAAGGAGAAGAAACAATTAGAAGACCATATAACGCTATGGAAGCTATGATACTCATTTTGTGCCATTATAGAGCTTGCTCTAGCATCGTCTGTAAACTATAAATACTAGAGAAAAATACCTATTGATGGTTAAATCCCTTCGATATGCATCCTCTTCTGCAGTGCCAAATTTCTGCAAAAGAAATGCGAAATAAAAGATTTTCACTATTTAAGAAGATTGTAATGTGTTAATATTTTGAGAAATAGAAACTACCATGCTAGAAAATGTTATTAAGGAAGCATGCCCTAGAAAAACGGTGGTAAAAGTGATGATGAAATGCTAAAATTTGGATCCTTACATTATATATACGTATCTACTATTGTTGGTTCAATGTAAAGTATGCAATATTCAGCATATAGGTCAATAATTTTAATTTTTCCTAAGAAAAATTCATGTAAGAAACTTCAAAACATTTACCATAGTTGGAATGCGGCTATTATCACTATAGTCTTCAGATCTTAAGTTGACAAAATCAATCCATACATCCAAAAGGCGCATCCTTGCTGTTTCCAGATGTTTTGATTGATCAGGATTGCTGCCAAATGAAAACAATGCTATTAATGAACACTTAGCACCATGAACCAACAGGCAACAATTATACAGAAGTGGTTTCCTATGGAGACAAATGACAAATAGTCCATGTAAAGTAGTAGGATAGTGTATGATGAATGTTTTTCAACAGATGAGTAAAAGAAAAGAAAGAACGATAAAGGAACCATTTGGAGTAAAAAAGTATGCATTTCAACCATGTAGACTTTCACATTTGAAAAACATAAACAAAAGAAATGTACCATAATCTGTCACATTTAAAACTTGCAACCAATTTTCTAAACACAGCACGAATATCGAAACAGAAAAGGTAAAGGGTTAATGGTCAAAAGGGTAGTGAGAAAATGAAAAATTATAATTATAAAAATAAAACTAGTATTCCAAACAATAAGATTTAATTAGAATTATATTCCTATTAACAATATATCACAATTTTTACATTTTAAATTTGGAAGTTAAAAAAATTTATCCATTCTTGTGCCACAAGCCCCCCACTATATCGCTTTTCATCTTGTACAGTTTTACTTTTCACTCTCTTACAATATATGCAGCAACCCACCAAAAATCCACTATCCAACTTATATTACATCTCAAAAATTCATGAAATATCACTGGAATCAAAATCCAAAGTCCCTTATTAAATTGCTCCAATGAAGGCAGTGGAAGAGGAGAAAACATGGTACCAACTACCAAAATGAAAAAAAACAAAAAAAAAATGGTGCGGAACTTTTAATTTTCTTTTTCTTTGTTATAGAAAACCATGGCCGGTTCACTGTTTTTTCTTTATACAATTTTTTCTTCGAACAGAACCGGTTTACAGTCTGGTTCCTGGTTTTGCAGTTGAGCAGACCTACCCAGTCTGGTTTAAACAATGCTGCTTACAACATACACCTTCTGACCAAAAGAAATGGCGTTTATTCACTTCAGTGCAAAAATCAGCTAATGTACCCATAAATTCGATAGCAAATTGACGCCAAAACTTATTTGGAAACAGAAACTTCAACCGCACTAATATGACTGGTATTCGTACCGATCATAATACAAAGCGGCAAAAATATTTCTTCTAAACCGCAGAATAAGCAAAATAGAGAAAAGGGAAAATACCACTGAATGACACCAATACCATGTGTCTCTTCCCCTGTTGATAACAAGTACTCGTTTACTTTTTCACAGAACTCCTTTCCTAACATATTGTCCAGTGCAATGTCAATATCATAACATTCTTTGCCCAAAATCTGCAATAATAATGATGAACATTGAGTAGCATACAAAAACCAAAAATAGGAAAACAAAGAAAGTTGCAGATAAAAGTAAATCAACTAGTTCTGAAACTTATTTCCATTATAGAAAAAAAATGGTAATCTTTCTGCAGCATTGACCCACACATTGACTCGTTGAAGAAAAATAATATCCAACACAGCATGAACTCCTACAAGCCAATATAAGCTACAAAAACGGGCTGAGCTCTGAACATCTCACAAACACGTACTAAAAGTCGCAATTTTCTTGTCAATGTAAGAGAGTACTAGTAATAAATTAGGTTAGCACCACCGCGAGAGTTGTGTAACAGAAAAGTAGATGCAAATTCTCAAACAAAGGTACATTATCGTATCACACACATCAGCATTTGTACCTTGCCGCAGCATCATGAAAACTGTTCTGGCATCTTAAGAACCAAAAACAACCACAAGCGAATAGGCATACGATTATACCCTCCTCTTCCACCAAATTCATACTTAAATTCATTTTTGACGACAAATACGATCAACTGAACTGACCTTATCGCGAACCCAGCCCCCGGCGACGCGAAGCTGGGTTTGGAGATTGAAGTGGCGTAGAACTTCAAGAAGGCGATCGAAAATTTGCTTTTCCTTGGCCGTCAGATCGATTTGGTCCCTCACATTAACACACACTGGAGATGTACACATTGTTGCTGTTCTTGAAGCACTTCGTGCAAAACTGTAATTATAGTTATAATAATAGTAAAAATTCAAACGCCGTTTTGAAATTTGATGAACATTTATTGTGGGAGAAGATAGGAATTTTAGGGTTTGGAATGGGAATTTGGAAGGTTTTAAGAAAAGGGATTGAGGGTTTTGGAAAGGGAAAATGCGATGAGTTACTAGGGACAGTTTCATTCTGTTACTGCTTATTTTGAGAAATTTCTAAGGACCTTTCAAAAATGCAAAGTCAATTTCAAAAGGTACTTTTTTTTATCATATGTAACACTACGTACAAATAACATTATTCAACTTTAATTGTTTAAATAACTTTGCCATTTTTCTCCCCCATCACATGGGGACACCCGTCCCCTAGCCACGTACAAGGTCGTGTACGGGCAACATTTTTTAAAAATCATTGGATGAAAAAATATTTTTTTTTTAACTATCAAATGAGATAATATCACGTGACATTATATAGACAAGGGTGTACACCAAGCATGATTCATTATTTAAAGAACTATGAATCGAATAGCAAAATCTGATTAAATTTTAAAATATTGTTGAAATATCATTAAAGTCATCAAAAAATCTTCATCCATCGTTAAATAATATTTCGTTACTTGACTTGAACAAAAGTAGGCATGGCAACGGAATTCACACACATAGCACGAATACCATCCAATCTCCCAAGTCCCAAGCAGTGATGGGTTAATAGTAGTTTGACAAAGTTCAACGACATTTTTAGCAACAATTTTACAATTCTTTTTTTTTTTATAGCAGTGGGTGTCCGTACCAACTTGCATGCAACTCGACTAATTTCACGGAGCCCTGAAGTTTACAATCAGCTACTCACCTCAATAAACTCAAGACCAGACCAATTGAGCAATCCCTCAAGGTTTCACTTTTACAATTCTGTAAGGTCCATCTAAGTGATGCAACCTAAAATTTAATTATCTTTTAGAAAATTAACCACATAAGAAAATATTTAAAAAAATAAAATAAAGTGAAGAAAAAGTAAATGTTTATTCGTCGTCCATAAGCAACTAGAGAATTGTTTGCTATGGTCCTTGATATCATTGTACAACATTGTTGTCGTTAATTGTTGACAAACATATCAATAATATTGTTGTTGTTTCTACCAATCAACGACGACTATTGATTTTCATCAAGTATACTCGACGATTCTATCGATAATCATTCTTTATGATAATTTTTTAAAAAGATCCCTCAAAGATTTGCCTAAGACTCCAAATTATTTGAGTTGCTTTTGAATGTGATAGTCATATTTACTTATTTTTACAAAGTTTCATTGTAGCGAAGAATAAAATGACGATATATTTTATCATTACACTAAAAATGCATGTTCTAACTCAATCATGTGCACAACTCTCAGAGTGTGTTTGGTAGAGATTTTTGAGAGAAGAATTGATTTTTGAATAGTGATATGATGGGAAATGTGTGGTTGAAAAAGAAGAAAAAAGTATTGATGTGATGGAAAATATTATTTTATCAAAGAATGTGCGGTTGAAAATGAGAATTGATTTACTGTAGAAAATGAGAATCTGTACCAAACAGGCTCTCAATCTTAACACAATCACGACCTTATACAGTTATACCTCACTCGATATCAATTTAACTAATTTTAAAATTAAAAGATTAATCTTCGAGATAAAACCATTAAAACTTAAATTACTTTCGGAAATGTTATCGCTTGTTTCAAAATAACTACAATTTAGGTCTAGACACAGAGACCTCACTAAAGTTTGAATTATTACTTTTTCTTTCTCGTATTAAAGATACATTAGATATTAAATTTGAATTATAAAATGAATCCATTGGTGATGGAAATTTGAACGTAATCGTCTATTCATTAGATATCAATCTCACATAAATCAAAAGTCTTTATATTTGCATCCCATAAAGATGGCAATTCATAGAATGTATTGAAAAATACTCTTAAAAAGTCCAAACGTTCATGTTTGACTAAGCTTAAAAAATTTTAATTATGTGAAAATGAGTATATTTTAGACTAAATAATTTGTATTGGTCAAACTAAAAATAAGTAATTTATTTATTTAGCTAGTAACTTTTATTTTACTTTCATAATAGCTAGTTATGTTTCCTGTAAGAAAGATTTACTGTTAATTAGTGACATGATCAAATCAAAAAGAGCATTTTTCCCCTCAAATGTAAAAGTATCTTGAAAAACATTATCATGTAGGTTGTTTAAAACGCAAAAACAAATTCCTCTTGAAACCATTTGAGCCCTACTATTAGAGAAATATTAAACGTATGTTCGACAAATTTTTTTATCTTTTAAAGATTATAAGATGCGATCTTACAAATTGTGTGAATAATTGAATAAAACTATGGATACTTACACAGGTAATAATAATATTCGACCAACTTATAGCCTTGAAGAAACATACAAAACGTAGGCTAATCAAACATGATCTTACGCCAGCAAAAGTATTCAATCCCGTCATTGAGTCCTCTTCTTCCTTTCCGACCATTTATACCTAAAGTCCATTTGATTACAAATGTAAAAAATGGATGGAAAGAAAATAAATTTCATGGAATAGAATTGCTTAGAATTTGTTTTATTGAGAATTGTAATTAATTGTGTTTGATTGGTATAATTTTCCACCTGTTCCGTTTGATTTTGTTTTTCATGAAAATTGTCAATTGAATAGATAAAATTTATTAGAATTGGTGATA